CCCAGGTGAGAGTTAAGGAAGGCATCTGCAGAGTGAGGGATGTCGGTGGTGAGGGGCGATCCCATGCCGAGATTTCAGTGGGTTTAAGGAGAATGGAGGAAGCAGCAGACATCTACAGACAGATGGGTGGTGCTTGGCTCACGGGGTCTGGTTGACACTGGCCTGTTCTACCCTACATGGTGTGGGATCAGGACTCCGAGAGCATTTCCTCCCTAGTCAGGAATAGACAGGTGCAGGGAAGATGGCGATTCAGATGCCCCATTGTAGAGGCTCAGGTCAGTGGGCCCTTTATATCCTGGAAGGATCGTTTTCTTTCAGAAGTCCATGGAATAGAGTCAGGAGAAGAATTGTTTAATAAATTGTAAGAAGTTGGGATATCAAAGAAAAAAAAGTTTGATAGGCCATTCCAACAGTAACCTGAAAGTTCTAAATATCCTTGAAGTGATCTTTTAGTGTCGGGAAGAGAGACAGCTAAAGTGACTTGAAGTCAGGAAGGGTCAAGAGACAAACCTTCAATGTCAAGAAGTGACCCAAACATTTGACAGAAGTCTGACAAAACGAAGTTTTCTTTCTGAGCCCTTATACCCTCTAGAGGTCAAGATTTGGCTAAGTCGATGCTGTCAGCAAGGTGAGTCTCTTGGGATGGGGAACATAAAAGCACATCATCCACATATAGAAGTAAGGTTGAACCATATTGGAAGGAGACATCAGCTAGGTCAACCCAAAGAATTTGAGAACAATAGGTAGGGCTTTCAAAATATCCTTGGGGAAAGACTGCTCAGGTATATTTTTGGCCCTTACAGGTGAATGTGGAAAAAAAAAAATAGCTGTCAGGGTGTACTCATGTACTAAAGAAAATGTTACAGAGGTCAACAACTAAAAAATACCAGCTCTCAGAGAAACACCAGACAATAAGGTATGAGGGTGAGGCATCATTGGATATTGGGGAACAACTGTGTTATTAATGATTTTGAGATCTTTTGCCCACTTCAATTTAGCTTTGTGATAGGTATGATGGGAATGTGGAAAGGTTGTAGAGGGACCCAGTTTTTTATATAGAAAGTTACCTATTGAAGGTTGGTGTGTCAGTCAGGCCTTGGGATTTAGGGGTTATTGCTTGACATTGGGATAGGCTTGTCATGATCCACCTGGATTTTAATTGGAGGTATAGATGGACACGACCAACATTAATTTTATAATGTGCCTATAAGTTCTTGGGCGATTCCTGGAGGGCAGGATGGGAGGGTTACTGAGATTGACAAGGGTAGATGGGTACCTGGGTAGGGGCTAGTTCTATAAGACCAGAGTTCTGGTGGAGTTCAGACTAGTATAATTTCCTCCACTTGGGAAAAAGAGATATGGGCTTGATATACTTCCTGAAAATTCCTCCCCAAAAGATCGAAAGGATCCAACAGGATGAATGAGAAACTTTTCCAAGAAAGGGCCCTATTGGAAAGAAATGAGTACAAGTATGGAAACAGTCACCAATGCACCATCTGGTTACATTGAAAACTCTTGAAAGTGTTTTGGGGTTAAGGATGGACAGTAGCCCCAGTGTCAGCCAGAGCTCTAAACAGTTCATCCTAATTTTAATATCTACTTTTCCCAATTAGTTTTTAAGTAGTGGAAATGTCCCTTGAATTTCCCCCAGAGCATCCCTAGTTCTGTTTTGTGGGGAAGGGTGAGGTAGCCTTACCGGGGTTGGAGTCGCAGCCAGCATTTGTATTTAAGACAGTCCTTTTGAAATGGCCTGTGCCCTCACAGAAAAGCAGGCCTTTGGCTCTGAGATGCAGGGGCAGTTGTAACTCTTGTCATCAGAGAGCCATAAATTTGGTGGGATCCTTTGAGGCTTTCTTGGAGATTCAGCTCTGTGTGTGTGTGTGTGTGTGTGTGTGTGTGTGTGTGTGTTGCTGTGGATCCAATCCAGGGCTACGTGAAGGCTAAGCATACACTCTACTATTGAGCTAATCTGGGCCCCGGTTTTCACAGCAGAGCTCAGGGAAACAAGAAGGGAAGTTCCAGGAACTCATCCCAGCTGAGCACAATACTGCCAACACCAATGTCTTTTTAAACTTTTAAAAATTTGTTCTTAGTTACACATGACAGTAGAGGGTATACATGTAGTATAACTTCCCATTCTTTTTAAAAATATTAAAATTTGAGAATTGAACCCAGTGGCTCACATATGCCAGGCAAGCGCTCTACCACTGAGCCCCAACCCCAGCCCACACCTTCCCATTCTCATGGTTGTATGTGATGTGGAGTTATACTGGTCATTTATTCACAATGAACATAGGGAAGTGATGTCCAATTCATTCTATTCTTTCCTGTTCCCACCAATGTCTTTTTAATCTTCTCTTTCTCATATTTTTGTCTTGCGCCAGTCAAACCAACCTTTATTTTTCCCACGGAATAAAGAAAACTGTGACAGAACCACTTCCTTAATTTTGATGAAACCCTAAAAGTGCCTGGCTTATTTATTCACTGTGGCCACTGTCCTGCACCCACCCATCAGGGACTGGGTCAGTTATAACTCAGGGTTCTGAGCTCAGCCTGCAGTTTTGGCTGTCTGCACAGATCTTATACATACACACACACACACACACACACACACACACACACAGGCACTTAGTTAAGCCTTTTGAATATATCAAGTATATTCCTGTACATAAACACAAATAATATACATACACAGGTTAACTGTCCTTTATCTGAAGTGCTGGGGACCACTAGTGATTCAGATTTCAGATTTTGAAATATTTGCATATATATAT